GCGCGCGTGCACGTGCACGTGCGCGCATGCACGTGAGCACGCGTAGGCGCGCGCGTGCGCGGGTGCGCGCGCGCGTGCGCGCGCGCCTGCTTCTGCGCGCGCGCGCGTGCACGTGCGCGCGCGTGTGCGCGTGCGCATGCGCGTCCGCGTGTTTGTGCATGTGTCCGTGCTCGCGCGCGTGCGCGCGCGTGCGCGCGCTGTTGTGCGCGCGCGCGCGTGCGTGTGCGCGCGCGCGTGTGCGCGGCGCGCAGGCGCGCGCGCGCGTGCCGCGCGCGTGCGCGCGTGCGCGCGCGCACGCGCGCGTCTGCGCGCGCGCGCGGGCGCCGGAGCGGGCACGGGCGGAAGCGCAAGCGCGCGCGTGCGCGCGCGAGGGAGCGCGCACGCGAATGAGCGCGCGCTCGCGCACGTGCGCGCGCAAGCGTGCGCGTGTGCGCGCTTGCGTGTGCTCGTGCGCATGCGCACGCGTGTGCGCGTGCGTGTGCGTGCGCTGTGGGCGTGCGCGCGCGCGTGCGCGTGCGCGTGCGTGTGCGTGCGCGCGTGCGCGTGCCCGTGCGCGTGCGTGTGCGTGTGCGTGCGCGCATGCGTATGCGCGTGCGCGTGCGTGCGCGCTCGAGCGTGCACGCGCGCGTGCGCGTGCGCGTGCGTGTGCGCGTGCGCGCGCGTCTGCGTGCGTGCGCGCGCAAACGCGCGCGTGCGTGCGCGCGTGCGAATGCGCGCGCGCATGCGTGTGCGAATGCGCGTACGCGTGCGCTTGCGTGCGCGTGAGCGCTCGCGCGCGCGTGCGCATACGCGCGCGTGGGCGCGCGCGCGAACGCGTGCACGGTCGCGTGCGTGTCCTCGCGTTTGAGCGTGTGCCCGTGCGCGTGCGCGTGCGTCTGCGCTGGCGTGCGAGTGCGCGCGCGTGCGCGCGTGCGCGTGTGCGTGCGCGCGTGGCGTGAGAGGGGCGCGCGCGTGCGCGCGTGCGCGCGCGTGCGCGCGCTTGCTCTTGCCTGCTTGCGCGCGCGCGCGCGTGAGCGGGCTCGCGCGCGCGCGCGACGGCGCGCTCGGGTGCGCGCGCGAACGTTTGCACGCGCGCGCGTTCGCAGCGCGCGCGTGCGCGCACAGGCGCGCGCGCGCGTGCGTGCGCGCGTGCGTTTGCGAGCGCGCGTTTGCGCGCGCGCGCGCGGGCGCGCGCGCAGGCGCGGGCGCGGGCGCGGGCGCGCGGGCGAAGGCGCAAGCGCGCGCGTGCGCGCGCGAATGAGCGTGAGCTCGTGCACGTGCGCGCGCGAGCGTGCGTGTGTGCGCGAGGGCATGGGCGTGCGCGTGCGCGTGCGTGCGCGCGTGCACGTGCGTGTGCGTGCGCTGTGGGCGTGCGCGCGCGCGCGTGCGCGTGCTCGTGCGCATGCGTGTGCGCGCGCGCATGCGTGTGCACGGGCGCGCGCGTGCGCGCACGAGCGTGCACGCGCGCGTGCGTGTGCGCATGGGTGCGCGCGTGCGCGTGCGTCTGCGTGCGTGCGCGTGCAAGCGCGCGCGTGCGTATGCGCACGCATGCGTGCGCGCGTGCGCGCGCGTGTTTGCGTGCGCGCGCGTGCGTGTGGGCGTGTGTGTGCGCGTGCGCGTGCGCGCGCGTGCGCGCGCGCCTGCGCGCGTGCGCGCACGCGCGTGCGTGCGCATGAGCGCGCGCGCGCGAGCGCGTGCACGCGCGCGGGCGTGCCCGCGTGTTTGTGCGCGTGCCCGTGCGCGTGCGCGTGCGTCTGCGCTTGCGTGCGAGCGCGCGCGTGCGTGCGCGCGTGCGCGTGCGCGTGTGCGCGTGCGCGTGGGCGCGCGTGCGCGTTCCTGCTTGCGCGCGCGTGCGCGAGTGCGCGTGCGTGTGCGTGCGCGCGTGAGTGCGCGTGTGCGCGTGCGTAAGCGTGTGCGTGTGCGTGTGCGCGCGCGTGTGCGCGCGCGTGCGTGCGCGCGTGCGCATGCGCGTGCGAGCGTGCGCGTGCGCCCGCGCGCGCGCGCGTGCGCCTGCGTGCGCGCGTGCGCGCGTGCGCGTGCGCGTGCGCGCGCGCGCGTGCGCGCACGTGCGCCTGCGTGCGCGCGCGCGTGCGTCTGCGTGTGCGCGTGCGCGTGCGTGTGCGAGAGCGTGTGCGCGTGCGTGTGCGTGTGGCGGGCGCGTGTGCGTGCGCGCGTGCGCGTGCGTGTGGCGCGTGCGCGTGCGCGCGTGCGCCTGCGTGCGCGTGCGTGTGCGTGTGCGTGTGCGCGTGCGCGTTCGCGTACGTGCGCGTGTGCGCGTGCGTGCGTGTGGCGTGTGCGTGTGCTCGTGTGTGTGCGCGTGCGTGTGCGTGTTCGTGCGCGTGTGCGTGTGCGTGTGCGTGTGCGTGTGCGCGTGCGTGTGCGCGTGCGCGCGCGCGCGTGCGCGTGCGCGTGCGTGTGCGCGCGCGCGTGCCTGCGCGCGCGCGCGTGCCTGCGCGCGCGCGCGTGCATGCGCGCGCGCCTGCGTCTGCGCACGTGTTTGCGCGTGCGTGGTCAGGTGCGTTCGCGTGGGCGTGTGCGTGTGCGCGTGCGTGTGCGTGTGCTGTGCGTGTGCGTGCGCGTGTGCGTGTGATCGTACGCGTGCGCGTGTGCGCGTGCGTGCGCGTGCGCGTGCACGTGCGCGTGTTCGTGCGCGCGTGAATGCGCGTGTGCGTCTGCGTCTGCGTGCGCGCGTGCGCGCGTGAGTGCGTGTGCGTGCGCGCGTGCGTGTGCGCGTGCGTGTGCGTGAGCGCGTGCGTGTGCGAGTACGTGTGCGTCTGCGTGTGCGTGGTCGTGCGCGCGCGAGTGCGTGTGCGTGTACGCTTTCGTGTGCGTCTGCGTGCGCGTGAGCGCGTGCGTGTGTGTACGCGCGTGTGTGCGTGTGCAGGTCCGTGTACGTGCGTGCTCGCGTGCGTGTGCGTGCGCGTGCGCGAGCGCGCGTGAGCGCGCGTGCATGTGTGCGCGCAAGCACGTGCGAGTGCGCGTGCAAGTGCGCGTGCGCGTGCGCACGCGTGCGCGTGCGTGCGCGTGTTCGCGTGCGTGCGCGTGTGCGTGTGCGCGTGCGTCTGCGCGGTTGCGTGCGTGTGCGTGTGCGTGTGCGTGTGCGTGTGCACGTGCGCGTGCGAGTGCGTGCGCGTGTCCGTGCGCGTACGAGTGCGCTCGCGCGTGCGTGAGCGTGTGCGCGTGCGCGTGCGCGTGCGTGTGCGTGTGCGTGTGCGTGTGCGTTTGCGCGTGTGCGTTTGCGTGTGCGTGAGCGCGTGCGCGTGCGTGTGCGAGAGCGTGTGCGTGTGCGTGCCCGTGTGCGTGGTCGTGCGCGTGTGTGTGTGTGTGTGCGTGTGCGCGTGCTTGTGGCGCGTGCGCGTGCGCGCGCGTGCGCCTGCGTGCGCGTGCGTGTGCGTGTGCGTGTGCGCGTGCGCGTTCGCGTACGTGTGCGTGTGCGCGTGCGTGTGCGTGTGGCGTGTACGTGTGCGCGTGCGTGTGCGAGTGCGTGTGCGTGTGCGTGCGCGCGCGCGTGCGCGTGCGCGTATGCGTGTGAGTGTGCGTGTGGGTGTACGCGTGCGTGTGCGCGCGCGCGTGCGTGTGCGTGTGTGTGTGCGTTTGCGTGTGCGTGTGCGTGTGCGTGTGCGTGTGCGTGTGCGCGCGTGCGCGTGCGCGTGCGTGTGGCGCATGCTTGTGCGCGCGCGTGCGCGTGCGTGTGCGTGTGCGTGTGCGCGTGCGCGTGCGTGTGCGAGAGCGTGTGCGTGTGCGTGTGCGTGTGGGGGCGCGTGTGCGTGTAAGTGTGCGCGTGCGTGTGCGTGTGCGTGTGCGCGCGTGCGCCTGCGTGCGCGTGCGTGTGCGTGTGCGTGTGCGTGTGCGCGTGCGCGTCCGTGCGCGTGTGCGCGTGCGTGCGTGTGGCGTGTGCGTGTGCGCGTGCGTGTGCGCGTGTGTGTGTGTGCGTGTGCGTGTGCGCGCGCGTGCGTGGGCGTGTGCGTATGCGTGTGGGTGCGCGTGTGGATGTGCACGTGCGTGTGCGTGCGCGCGTGCGTGTGCGTGTGTGTGTTTGCGCGTGCGTGTGCGTGTGCGTGTGCGTGTGCGTGTGCGTGTGCGCGTGCGCGTGCGCGTGCGTGTGCGTGTGCGTGTGCGTGTGCGTGTGCGTGTGCGTGTGCGTTGCTCGATGGCTTTTCGGCTTCAAGTCGACTCGAGAAACTCTCAGAGAGCGCCAAGGAGCCGCCAAGACGGTCCGAGACTGTCCCGAGAGCACTCCAGGACAGCCCCAAGAACTAATGCTTCGGCCTCCGGACATCACCGAGACAGCCAAAAACCACCCCAAAAAAGCTACAAGATGCCCCAGGACAGCCTAAACCAGCCCAACGAGCTCACCAAAATGCCCCAGAAGGCTCGAAGAATGATCCAAGAGACGCCCGAAGAGGGATCCAGCGAGGCCAGAAGAAGTGAAACCCTCGAAAACCTGTGGGGAATCCATGGGTTTTGCGTCCGAGGCTTTTCGGCTTCAGGTCAAATTCGGAAACTCTTCAGAGAGCGTCAAGAAGCCCCCAAGACAGCAGAAGACGGCCCAACGAGCTCACCAAGATGCCCCGACGGCTCCAAGAATGACCCAAGAGACGCTCGAAGAGGGCTCCAGCGAGGCAAGAAGAGGTGAAACCCTCGAAAACCTGTGGGGAATCCATGTGGTTTGCGTCCGAAACTTTTCGGCTTCAGGGGAACTCGGAAAGCCTTCAGAGAGCGTCAAGAAGCCCCCAAGACAGCACAAGATGGCCCAAAGAGCGCTCAAGACGGCCCCAAGACAGCCCAGTGGGGAGACGGCCCCAATACCTGCTCGGACGTTCCGAAGATGCTTCAATCCACTCTCTTCGAGAGAGCTCTGCAGAGCCATCGCGCCCACGAAGGCCCCGAGAGACACCCACGGAAGAGAAGAACGAGGCAACGGACCAGGAGGGAGCGCTCAAGACCCGCGCCAGCTCGAGCGAGGCACAGAACTGGAGCGGGTCTTGAACGCGCGCTGGCACGGCTGCGGGGCCTGCCACAGGCATCTGCATGATGCGCACGGCCCGGAGCACCGAGATGGGCTCCTGCACGACGAGCACCACACGCTGGCCGCCGAGGAAGGCGCGAGCCACCATGCCCTCGAGCGTGGCCGGCGAGACGAACCCCACGCCGAAGAGGACGAGGACTCCGCAGGCGCTCCCGGCCGGCCCCGCGGGCACGGCGCTCCCGGGGCGCACGGCGGCGCCGTCGAGCAGGGCCTCGACCTGCGCCAGCGCCTGCCTGTCGGAGTGGTGCATGCTGAGGCACAGCACGCCCGCGCCGGAGGGCAGGCCCTCGTAGTGCCGGCGCACCGGGGCCTCGTCGGGCGCGACCAGCAGCAGCAGCGCCTCGTGCGGCCGCGGCCTCTGGCCCGCGGGCACGCAGGCGCGCCACTCCGCCTCGCTCTGCGCCCACGCGTGGGCCGCGGCCAGGAGCCGCTGAGCGCCTGCCAGGTTGCGCGGCCAGTCGATCAGCCCGCCCGCCGCCCGCCGCACCTCGAGCCCGCCCGGGCAGAGCTCCACGTCGGCCAGGGGGCTCAGGGCGGCGGGGTCCCCGTGCAGGATGCCCGCGCAGCGCAGCGTCGCCTGCCCGAGCGCGAAGCTCTCGCGGTACAGGACGGGGGACACCTGGTGAGCGTGTTCTTATTCGGCGTTTCGACATTGGGCGGAAGGGGGGGGGGAGGGGGGGCGGTCTGGCTCTGGACCTCTGTTTGGTGCGAAGATTTGCAGCAGGGCGTCCACTGTGGGGGAGACCCCGCCGGCTCGAAACAGGCGCCGAAAACAGCCAATGTCCACTCCATAGGGGGGGAGGGGGGGGCTGCGAGGGCCCGCGCCGATCGGCAAAACAACGAATAAAAGAACGATCACCTGCGTGCTCAGGTCGTGGGCGACGGACTCGGGCACGATCACGCGCCCGAGGGACCTCGTAGCCGCGAGGGCCGGCAGCAGCCCGTGGTACCACTGGAGCACGAGCCGGACCGACCCCTGCGCGTGCCTCACCAGCTCGCCCAGCTGCGGCGCGGAGACCTGGCCGGTGACGTCGACGACGAGGAAAGTCATGGTGGCCCGCTGCAGCTCCTCGGCGGCGAGCAACGGGGGGAAATGAGGAGGAGAAGACCTTCTCAGGAGGCGGCGGGATTTCTCAGAAGCCCTCGCGCCTTCTGAGAAACAGGCTTAGAAAACTTCTCAGAAGGCCAGGGGACTTCAGAACCTTCTGAGAAGGCCTTCTCCTTCTCACTTCGCCCCCATGCTCGCCGCCGAGCTCCCCGATCTTCTCCAGCGCCGACTCGAAGCAGAAGCTCTCCACGGCGAGGAACTTCACCGAGTGCTTCGTCCGGTCCACCAGCCGGCAGAGCTCGCCGAGCTGCGAGGGCGGCAGCACGGCGCAGTGGCGGCCGCCGGGACGCACGACGAGCAGCTCCAAGATGATGTCCTGCGCCTCGCGCGAGCCCTCGCTGGGCCACAGTCGTCCGGCACAAGGATCCGCCTGCTAGCGCAACAGAGACTAGAGGCATCCTAGATGGGGTCGGAGTAGATGGGGCCCGGAGGATCGAGCCGCATCGGCGATGCATCGCCCATGCATTGGCGATGCACCCGCGAAGCGGGCGATGCATCGGCGACGCCGGCGTTGAGAAAATCGGGCTCCACATCGAGCCGCATCGCCGATGCCCGCGCCGATCCACGAAACCCGCGCGGACCTCCGAGAGCTCCTGCTCGCGCTTGTGCCGTTCTCCCTGCTGCGACCTGCGCCCTCAGCACCGCGGCCCAGTGGCGCCGCAGCGCGTCCAGCAGCGTGGCGGAGAGGTGGTCGAAGCACTGGAACAGCGCCGTGGAGGCGAAGTAGAGCAGCTCGGGGCACCGCCGCAGCGCGGATGCCACGTCCTCGGGCGCGTGCCTCTGGCTGAACCAGAGCGCGAGCACCTGCGGTTGCAGCTCGCGGGAGCCTCCCATGCCATCTTGTCGGCTCTTGCGAATCGACGCCAGTCGACGCTGAATCAACGCTAATCGACGCTACATCGGCGCTATCTCATCGACTCCAGACGCTAATCGACGCTAATCGACGATGAAGACGGCATCAAGGGGGTATACCAGGCTCCCATGATCTGCCACCGAGGAGCACCTGCGCGAGAACGTCGGCCGTCTCCGCGACGCCACACCCTGGGGCCGCTTGCAGCAGCCCGACGGGCAGCGGCAGCCTCAAGCCGCGGCCGACCTTCCGACGAAGCCGGGACCAGGAAAGAATCGGACGGGGACCTACAGCCGGGGCCTTGACCTAAGGAACCCTAAATAAGGAACGAGGCCCCTTTTTTCCATAAGTTAAACTTCGATTTCCGATCGAAAGCATAAGGAAAACCTGAGGCAAGCTGCGAAACACTGAAGGAACGCGGAGCCCCTCGCCAACGAAAAGGGTTCCTTCTTCAGCGCCCCGACTGTATCGGGAATGCCTGAGATCTGGCGGCCCTGGAGGAGGCATCGGGCGCCGCGCCGGAGCCATTGCAGAGAGCTCCAGGACGCTCGGAGAGCGTTCCAGAGTGCTCTGGAAGGATGTATCCCCGTCCCCCCTGAGATCCGACGTAGTGAACAAATTGCAGCATCGCAGAGAATCAGAGCCCTAGACCCCATCTTTCTGCAGAATTTGTCGAGCGATCGGCGACCTGTGATGGTCCTGGGGTCCGAAAGCGAGCGAAAACCTCCGGAGCGAAAAAAATGCAACGCCCGGATCTCATGGCTAGCGCCGCCCAACAACCTCCAGCACGAAGCGCCGGAACCCGCCCTCGGCGTCGGCGCCCGTCCGGACCCGCGAGGGGATGGCGCGGTACCACGCGGACTCGCTCTGCACGGAGTTGGTCTGGAGGTTCACCTTTCGGTGGCCAGGCATGGGAGCTTCACGCGGTCGCACGGGCGCCTAGATGAGATTCAGTGGACCGCCAGTAAAATTAGATCGGGCATGTCCCACTACAGGCGGATTCTAGACGAAAAATACACAATACCCCCAAAAGAAGCAAACATACTCAGAAAATAATCGAAAAATCGTTCCCTGACCATTTTGACTATTTTTGAATATTCCTCCTGTAGAGGGACACACCCGACTTACCAGTAAAACCCACGGAGTCCCACTGAATCCCACCTGCGACCCCAGCAAATCCCCCGAAATCCCTCCTCTCTCAAAAAAGAAGATCCCCACCAAACTCGACTCTTGAGCAGCCACCGAGGCCCACCACAGCAAACAAAACCACAACTCGAAAAAAACTCGCGGGGCCAAGCAGAAAACTCCCATGTTTGGCCTCCCGACCTAAACAAACACCCGAGCGACGATCAGAAACGGGTCCCACGCGACATGGCGTAGCGACCTAACGCGGCGACTTACGCGGGCCGCCAGCGCTGCGCGTCACGGTGGAGACGAGGGCGCTTACACGCGCGACCTTACGCGGGCAGCTGCCGCGCCAGTGCCGGCGAAAACGACCCTGTTCCTCTGGCGCCGCTCCCGGGGATCGACTGGCCCGGGTCAATCCAGGCCCGGGTCAGTCGGGCTCTGCAAGATCCTGCAGGATCCTGCGCCCAAGCCCGGGTCAATGCGACCCTGGCTCTGCCAGATCCTGCAAGATCCGGCGCTCTGGCTGACCCCCGCTTGCATTCAATGATCAGCCAAGAAGGACCCCTGACCCTGTGGGAGGGGGCCCAAGTTATAATGGCCAAAAACATTAGGGATTAGGGGGTCTGTTCCGCAGATGTATAACACCAAACCGCCCAGCACTAGTATCCCTAATGCGCAGACGGGGGCCTCAGTGAGGCGGCGTCTTCATCGCGTTATGAAGGTTGGGGGCTCTTTTGTGCGCTCTCTTGTGCCCGATGCATGGACCCCCCATCTCCGGAGCCCCGACCAGCGTCGGCGGAGACGACTTCGTTTTTGCTGCGTCGCTCGCCTGCCGCTCCTGAGCCGGCTCGTCGGGCCCGCTGCCCCCAGGGAGCCGCAGCCGCACGTGCGTGGCACCGCTCAGCGCCTGCTCGAGCGGCCTGGAGTCTTCCCGCACCTCGGAGGCGGAGCCAGGCCACGCTAACGGCGATGTCGGTCAACGGCGATGTTGTTTTTCTTTCCCCTACGCCTGAGCCTGTGTCCAGGCACCCAAAGGACTTAGGACACTCCAGCTCCCCACGTCCGGCTGGCGGCGAGCTGTCCTTTCAAGATCAGCGCAATGAGCTATCAGCACATTAAAGCTTTACGGCCATGTCGCGAGCTGCTGCAAACAACGTGTATTTCGCGCAGCCCCTCAGGCAGGGGAAGAGAGGACGGATGGAAAGAAGGGACAAGGGGGACGAAGAACCTGGAACATAAGAAAAACAGCAGGAGGGGGGCTAGGAGCAGGAAGCACGCGGCAGAACCAGACGGGCAGATCGGGCGGGTAGACCCTAGCGGGCGGGTCGGGAAGGCGGGCGGCCAAGGCGGCCAGGTCGAGCAGGCGGGAGGCTGAAGCGTGCGTCCTGCATGAATCACGAAGAAGTCTCGAGCGACAGCGCGATTCATAAATTAATCGTGAAGAATTCCAAAGCGAGAGCGTGATTCTCGAGTGTCGAAGGCGCGGCGTCTGAGTAAATTGTGCGGAGGTCCCATGCGAGAGCGCGATTCCTGTGTAAATTGTGAGGAAGTCCCGCGCGAGAGCGCGAGGTGGGAATACATGGTGAAGAAGTATCAGGCGGGAGCCGCTGTTGATGTAAACCGGGAGCCAACAACACAGTCTGGGACACCCCACTTTCCCTTATAAAAAAGAATGCGAACCCCGGGGGAAACACTTTAACTTAAAAACAAAGGTTACCGGGCAGGGGTGATCAACAACAACTAATTTGTAAAGCGCAAATTCAACAACAATCATTTGAAGACTGATCGCTCTTATCCGCTCGCGTGCCATTCAACACGTATATCCCAAACCCTCGATACCTGGCCTCTTCGTCTTCGATCGTACCCCACTTGGGGGTATATCTTTCCTGGCTGCAACGTATACTCCGTGCAGCCCGTAAGGCAGGGGACGAGAAGACGGATGGAAAGAAGGGACAAGGGGAACGCAGGAGGATGGAACACGAGAGGAAGTAGCAGGAAGGGGGCTACAAGCAGAAAGTACGTGGCAGAACAAGACGGGCAGATCGGGCTGGTGAGCCTTCACGGGCGGGTCGGGAAGGCGGGCCCGGGCGGCCAGGTCGAGCAGGCGGGAGGCTGACTGAAGCGTGCGTCCTGCATGAATCGCGAGGAAGTCTCGAGCGACAAGACGATTCACTAGCAAATCGTGAGGAACTTCAGAACGAGAGCGTAATTCCTGAGTGTCGAGGGCGCGGCGTCTGAATAAATCGTGGAGGTCCCACGCGAAGAGCGCGATTCCTGTATAAATTGTGAGGAAGTCCCGCGCGAGAGCGCGATGTTTGAACAAATGGCGAGGAAGTAGCAAGCGGGAGCCGCTGCTGTTGTAAACCGGGGGCCAAAGGTCCACCCAGTTTGCTGACATTAGATTCCTTGATATTTACATATATATATATATACACACATCTATATATGTATAGATGTGTGTGAGAAGAAATTTACAGATCTAAGACACCAACAAAAAACTTGGTTCGCTGCTATCTGGTCACGTGCCAATCAGTGCGTATATCCCAAGCCTTCGGTACCCGCCCACGTCGTCTTCGATCGTACCCCCTCGGGGGTATATCTTCCTTACCTGCCACATGAATTTAGTGCAACCCTTGAAACAAGGGGAGAGAAGACGGGTAGAAGGGGGAGGGAGAAGAATAGACCACGAGAGAAATTAGCAGGAGGGGGGCGAGGAGCAGAAAACAAGTGGTAGAACCAGACGGGCAGATCGGGTGGGCAGACCCATAGCGGGCAGGTCGGGAAGGCGGGCCCAGGCGACTAGGTCGAGCAGGCGAATCGCTGAAGCGTGGGTCCTGCATGAATCGCGAGGAAATCTCGAGCGATAGCGCGATTCCCACAGAAATCGTGAGAAAAGCCAAAGCGAGAGCGTGATTACTGAGCGCCGAGGGCGCATCGTCTGCATAAATGGTGTGGAAATCCCACGGGAGAGCGCGATTCGTATACAAATTGTGAGAAAGTCCCGCGCGACAGCGCGATTTGGGAATACACTGTAAGGAAATAGCAGGTGGAAGTCGTTTCTTTGTAAACCGGAAACCAACAACACATTTGAGCTCAGTGACTGTCCCTGATTAAAAAATTTGGTGCGAGCCTAGAGGGAAGCATATCAATCTAAAAAACACAATGGTTTCCTGCAGTACTCAGAGCTCAACAACAACAGTAACAACAACAACTTCTACAACTATTGCGACGACGACGGCGACCATACTACTACTACGAGCACTACTACTACTACTACTACTACTACTACTACTACTACTACTACTACTACTACTACTACTACTACTACTACGACTACGACTACGACTACGACTACTACAATTTCTACTGCTACTCTATTACTACTACTACTACTACTACTACTACTACGACTACTACTACTACTACTGCTACTACTGCTACTACTGCTACTACTACTACTACTACTACTACTACTACTACTACTACTACGACTACGACTATGACTACCATTACTGCAAGTACTATGGCGACTACTACTACTACTACTACTAGTACTACTAATACTACGACTAACACTACTACCTACTACTACTACTACTAGTACTACTACTACTACTACTACTACTATTACTACTACTACTACTACTATTACTACTACTACAACTAACTACCTACTACTACGACTACTACTACTACTACTATTACTACTAACGACTATGTAACTAGGTTTCCTACTACTACTAACGAGCACTACCACTACTACTACTACTACTCCTACTACTACTGGACGACTACACTACTTCTACTACTACTACTACTACTACTACTACTACTACTACTACTACTACTACTACGACTACTACTACTACTCTACTACTACTACTACTACTACGACTCTACTACTACTACTACTACTACTACTACTACTACTACTACTACTACTACTACTACTACTACTACTAACTACTAACTACTACTACTACTACTACTACTACTACTACTACTACTACTACTACTACTACTACTACTACTACTACTACTACTACTAACAATACTACTAC